GAAGCTGAGGACGCTGCCAGTTCTCCGGGTCCGTCTGTGCCGGGCTGGGGATGCGGGGAGCACTCGGTCGAGGGAACCGTCGCATCCCTCGTACGACGCGGTCGTGTCACGTGGCCTGCGAGCTCCTGCGAAACTGTGACCTTTCTGCTTGCTGGCTGTGGCTGGGGATCCCCCGGCCTCGTCTGAGGCTGCGGCTGGGATGCAGCGGGCATTGCCCCCGCTCGGCTTGCTGCTTTCCACCGGGGCTGTTGCAAGCCCCGGCTCTCCAACTGGGGGTGTCTCGGCCCCCAGTGGCCCTGACAACCTCTTTTGGCTTTGTCCTGGCAGTACCGCGCCTGGATCCACCGCAACTACGGCAGGAACCCTTTCAAGGACCAGGAGGAGCTGCAGCGCTTGCTGGCCCGGCAGGAGCAGAGGCAGAAGGAGCAGCAGCTGGGGAGCAGGGAGAGCTCCTGGCTCGGCTCTCCAGCTCCCACCTACCCGCTCCCCGACCACGCAGGTGGCACCAGCAGAAGCAGATGGATGAACAGATAAGCAGCCGGCTGCTTGAAGGCAGGCGTTGGCCCAGGCTTGGAAAACTCCGTATTCCCTTTGCCAAATGCCCACGGGGGGGTTCATCTCTAGGGGCAGCAAGCAGCCAGCACCGGCCTCGGCCGTGGGCTCGAGGGTTGGAGCGGGGGGGGTCAGGACTCACAGACCCTCCCCTTGGCTGCCGGCTCCATGTATACCTCTGGGCAAGCCGCTCAATTGACGACAGTGTCTTGCTCTGTCCTGTTCCCCCATTCCCCAGTGGATCGCGGCCACTTTTCCACCACCCGTAGCAGCAGCAAGCCCCATCCCTCTCTCCAGCAGCACGGTACCCGGGCTCTCCTCCGGCAGGGCACCACAGGGATGGTGCCAACACAGACCTTGGAAAGCCAGAGCAGGATGAGATGGGGAGAGGCCACCTCGTCTTCTGTTTTGCAGTGAAGCTGGGGACCGATGCGGCCTGCGAGGCTGCCCCGAGGAGGGAGGGACGGGTCCTGGGGGGTGGGTGTGCTGCCGAGCCCGGCTGTCACCCCGTGGGACGGGGAGAGCGGCCGGAGGCTGAGCTGCCCCCAGGGCTGCGGATGCCCCTTGCCCTGTTTGGACTTTCCTGGTCCAGCCTGTCCTTGGCAGATGTCTGTCTGGCATTTTTCTTAATCCCCCACCCCCAAGGGAGGGGGGAAATCCAGCAGTGCCGGAGGCTGCCCGGCCCCGCCGCCTCCATCCCCGGAGCTGGAGCGGTTTTGGGTTTCCCCTGCTGCCCGATCTGAATGTTGCAAAAGCAGCCAATTGCTCGATTGGATTCAGTCGAGCCGCAGACCAATTTAACGCTGTCCCTCTCCAACAGCCTTTTTAATACTGAAAGACCGTGACCGTGTCCCTTTTTTCATCCCAAACTCATACACCGTGTTTCTAAAGCGTGGCCTCGCTGCCTTCCTTTGCCAGGACTCCCCACATCCATCCTGCAAGGGGGGTCCCAACCCATCGACACAGCCCTTCTACATTTAAACCTTCCAATCTTCCATGCCAGCTTGGCCTTTTACTATAAATACCTTGCTTGGCTTCTCAAAAATATCTGTTCTGCGATCCATTCTGGGAAAGAAAAAAAAAAAAAAAAGACGCTTCAAATATTTTTAGGAATTCCCTTAATGAAAATTTCTGGGTATTCCGAGTGTGACAGCGCCAGGGGTGACTTGCCCAACTCCTAATAAAGAGGAGAGTGATTAAAACCATGAGGACGGCTGGTCTTGATTTGCGGTGTTCCTGGTGGGAATGGAGGGATGGACTGGCATGACCGCTCCGCCGCTGTGTCCTGTTTCCTATTCTCTTGATGAGAACCACCAGCAAAATTAAAAGTTTTAAAGACTTAATGTTCAGTCATAATGTATAAGATTCTGGGGGGAAAAAAAAAATTATGGGGGCTTTTCCCTGTCTTTTTAGGGTGCCTTTGGCTGTTATTCTACGTGGAGGTCCGCCGCGGTTCGTGCCTGCAGCACACTCTGCACAGGAAAGCACCCCGAGCAATTAATGAGATCAAGGACCATAAATGCTGTTGATGGAGTGGACTGAAGGGAAGCTGAGCGAGCTGGGTCAATATTGTATTTAATGCCTCCGTTATCATTTTAGGAAGCAGAAAAATGGAACTTGTGCACGGGAAAATAAGAGAAGAAAGTTGGTTTCTGGTGTTCGTAGGAAGTCGTCGGAGATATGTGATAAGCAGAGATTAGATTTGCAGTAGGTGATAACCTCCGCAGAGCACTCCTGCCCCGCCACCCGCGCCCGCCTGGGTGGCCATGCCCCTTCCCGTCCCATGACCGGCCATCCCGGGACTCAAACGTTCCCCGGGGAATATACATTGTGATGCTCACAGCAACAACCGTTGCCTAAATAGCGTCTCTTAAGCCCGATTTCCCCCAGATTTGAAGGGTGTCCCGGGTGAATATATATATTTTTCCACGCTGGCCTACGTCAGCGGGACCTGTGGTGGCTTTAGGACTTCTGGGCACTGGAAGGCAAGTCCCGAAGCAGGTAAAACCGGGCTGATTTCCACTTCTTTCTACACTGCTAAGAGCTCTGCACGCTTTGCTGCTCAGCTCTCCCCCGCCGCATCAGCCCTCCCGAATGCCTGGTGCCTCTGGCGTGGGGAAGATCTCTCCGCTGAAGTGTGAACGAGCTTCCCGGGGTGTTGCTCGCGCGCAGGGAAATAGTCTGCAAGAAATTCCCGGCTGTGCTGCCTGCCCCAGGGTGTGTTTCGCGTTTTCCCTTGCCAGCCGCTGGCAGGGCTGCGGCGCACCTCGTTCCCTTCCAGCCCGCTGCCGCCAGCACCGTGAGCGGCTGGAAAACCCATTTTAAGGGTTTTTTTGCTCTATCCTCCTCCCGCTGGGATCCCCCTCACCCCAAGGAATTGAGATTTTGCTTTTCCAGGCTGCCCGTGAAGTTGTGGAGCCAAAACGAAGCCAGAGGTGATGGAATCACCCCGCTGGCAGCAGGGTCGCAATTAGTCTCCAGCTCGTTGGGCTCCAGAGGGGACAAGGGAATGGAGAGGCTTGATTATATGAAGCCCCTTTAAAAGATCCTGAATTTGCCAGAACTTCTACGAAAGAAACAATTTTTTACTGGGGGGATCTCCGGCCGGCGTGGGGAGGCAGGAGCGGTGCTGTGGGGGTCGGCGATGCCCCCCCCCCCCCCCGCAAAGCTTAACTTGTTGCTCGGTCAAAAAAAGGAATAACCCTCTTAACCGTATCTGATTGCAAAAGATGTTTTTGGCTCTCCCCAGATCTCACAGGGGGGATCTGATTAGGATCAGGCGGGTGTTTAAAAACAAGGGCTATTACAGCCGTTATTTATTATAAATGACAGTAGAGGTTGTGTACCTTAGATCATTATTTCTATTATACCATCTGTGCAGCTCCATACATTTCCCATTTCTCTGTATCACCCACATGGGAGTAATTATGGTTTTCTTCCAAGAAATGCGTGTGTAATCTGGTAACCCCCCAAAACCCCCTCTGAAGTCAGGCTGCAGATGGTCCTTCATGCTCTGCTACGGCCGGCAGCCCGGCTGGGTACGTCGGCGCTGGGCTGGGGCTGCTGGGCACCGCCGGGGCACCGATCCTGGCTGGGGGCAGGAAAGGAGGGACTGATCCGGCACCAGGGGTTGATCTGGGAGGGAACTGGAAACTGCCCAGGGATGGAGTGGTCTGGGGATGGACTCATCTGGGACTGGGGAGACTGGTCTGGGACTGGGGATGGACTCATCTGGGACTGGGGAGACTGGTCTGGGACTAGGGATGGACCGATCTGGGACTGGGGAGACTGGTCTGGGACTGGGGCAGTCTGGGACTGGGACTGGGGAGACTGGTCTGGGACTAGGGATGGACCGATCTGGGACTGGGGAGACTGGTCTGGGACTGGGGATGGACCAGGCTGGGACTGGGGACACTGGTCTGGGACTGGGGGTGGGCA